AGACACACCACCAATAATATTTTGGTGCAGTTTTTCTAGTTTTTGTTCTATGTGTATGTATTAAGTTGAAATATTGGAAGTTGCCAATGTTCAACCATTTTGACCCATAGAAAGGCAATTAACTAATTATTTATTTGAGACAGAGTATTGCTTTGTTGTCCAGGTTGGAGCGCAGTGGCACAATTGGGGTTCATTGCAGCCTCAACCTTCCAGGCTCAAGTGATCCTCCCACCTCAGCCTCTCAAGTAGCTGGGACCACAGATGGGTGCCACCACATCTGGCTAATTTTGTTCTTATTTGTAGAGACAGGGTCTCACTACGATGCCCAGGCTGGTCTGGAACTCCTGGGCTCAAGCAATCTTCCCACCTAAGCCTTGCAAGGTGTGGGGATTACAGGCATGAGCCACTGAACTCGACCTGGCAGTTTGTAGTTCAACCTAGTTAATTTCCACATACCATACCATGTGTATTTTGCATCATACTCTTTTCCTGTCATTCTAACAGCACCACTTGCCCATGTATTTACAGATTCTCGGGCTCTTCATGAGCTTGCATTAACAGCACAAATAATTGATGAGCATTAGCATCTCAGCACAGAGCACTGCTTTGTAAATCATTGGAGCAGTACAAGTAGGGCAGACTTCGAGTCTTCATGTAAATTACAATCCTCAGTGATTCTTCCATGAAACTCTACCTATAAACTCCCTCAGCCAATTGTCTACGTACAGTGCCTGGCACCAGATTTTCTGCCCCAATGGCAGCTTCTGGGAATGCTGCTAATAATTGTGTTTAGTTATTCATCTCTTGTTCCTTTGTATGAATCTGGTCCATCACCAGTAATGTATATTCAGTTTGTAGTTTATCTTCCTCTCCAATAAAATCAGGCCCTTTTGTTTTCTTTGTTATTTTTTGTGGTTTCCGGATTTTTGAGCCACGTACAGTCTACTGGCACTAAGAGAGAGAGCTGACTATATTTTTGAGCCTTGCAGGAGGAGGGCTGCTCTTAGAGTCCTGGCTTTCTCTCAGTAAACATCATCAGGACTGTCAGCTCTCCATCATTTCATCACAGCAAAGTCCTGAAGAGTCCATGGACCAGGTGGTTCCATCACATTGTGATCTTGCCTCCAAAGTGATTGCCCAGAGACAGTAATCTATATGGGTCCTCTCTGGACCAGTCTATCTGGGACTGAGTACAGCTCTATTCCCAATTAGGCCTTAATTTGCTCTAGACTTGACTGGGTTCAATGACAGACTAAGAAGATTATATGTCCATTCACAAGCCCCATTTACATAAGGTTTGGGAGCTTTTACGATCAACAGTCACTGTTAGTAATAATCTCATGTCACTTAAGGTACAACACCTTACAAGGATGGACTTTAACATTTTGGCCCCAAGAATAAAACAGTAACAGGAGACTAGAACATTTAAGGGTAATCTGTAGCCTACAAACACATCGAAGGATAGAGAAAATAAGGCAAAAAATACACAAAGTGAAATGACATATGGCTTCTCTTATCATCAAAACATGATAATCTACTACACAGAGAGGCAGTGTGTCATAAAACCTAACACTCTGGCTTTGAGATCAGACTGACTTGTGTTCTAATTCTTATCCCCTTACTAGCTGTGAACATCCCCTAGATCGTTTTCTCATCTATAAAACTGAGCTAAAACACTCTGTAGTGATGGTAAGGATTAAAGAGAGAATATATATAAAATATTGATCGCACTTGAGCCTAATAGTAGCAGTTATTATAACTAGATTTACACAAAAGAAGAATGTTTAATTTGATCTTTTAAACGCTTGTGATTGCAAACATGTCATTGTGACATTAATAAACATTTTTAAAAAAACCTTACTACTGCAAAAGAATCAGACTAGTTATATTTTCCCATATTTCCTTCTAGTCTTGGTGAATGGGTCAACACCATCTTTACACAATTTGTGTTTTTAGATTTTTTGTTGTTGTTGTTGAGACAGAGTCTCGCTATGTCACAAAGGCTGAAGTGCAAGTGGAGCCATCACAACTCACTACAGCTTTGACCTTCCAGCCTCAAGAGATCCTCCTACCTCAGCCTCTCATGTAGCTGAGGCCACAGGTGCATGCCACCACACCTGGATAATTTCTTTATTTTTTTGTAAAGATAGGGTCTTGCCATGTTGCCCAGACTGGTCCTGAACTCTTGGGCTCAAGCTACCTTCTTACCTCGGTCTCCCAAAGTGCTGGGATTACACATGGGAGCCATCGCACCCGACCTGTTTTCAGCTTTTGTTCATTTAACATTGTACCCTAAGTTTTCCCTTCGCAATATGGTCTTTTTAACTTACTATAAAATAGTTATTATTTCAACTAATGTGCCACAACCTAATTCATCATCCCTCTTTGGTTGAGCACTTAGTTTGTTTCAATTTGGGGAGTATTCTTTCATTTAGTTTCTGCTTCTGTTATGGTGATTTGAAATGCATGATTTTGAAAATATGTAGGTCTTTCGTTTAGGTGTATGCATGTTTCTAGCTCAAATTTGAGGGCCTCGTTTAAGCTAATGGCCGTTAGCTGTGGGGAAAGAAAAGGTAGGTTGTCTAGGGGTCAGCAAATAAAGACAACTTCAAGAATTCACACATCCACCGCTGACCTGGGTTTCATCTCAGCAGTTGGCAAACTGGCATGAGGATGACGGCTGATGGAGGTAGGCACTCAGGAAAAGGATCTTTAAGGTGGTGTAAACACATTCACGTTCCTGATTTCATTCAACTTCAACTCGCGGCCCAGATCGGAGCGTAGGTATTCACACTGGTTGAAGCACCGAGAGGGTAACGCAGTGCCGAAGGACTGAAAACGCCTCCCACCGAGCCCGGGGGCACTGGGTGGAGCTCTGTGGGGGGCGTCGCCTGCCCCTTCAGGGGGCTCCTCCTTCCCGGGGCTCCGGCCCCGCCCGGCTCCGAGCATGCCCAGTGCGCTCCACACCCGTCCTAGTGGTGCTGGGCGGGTGCCGCGGCTCCAGGTTTTGCCAGCTACTCGAGCCCCTGCCGGGCCAGGCCGAGCCGGGCGGGGCGCAGCGCGTGCGCTCCGGCCCCAGGGACTCCCGGGCTCCATCGGAATTCCCCACGACGCGACGCCCGGGCGGCACCCGCTGGGGTGCCGCTATCCCGGGACGTGCGACTCGTGGACAAGGACAGAAATGAGGTTCCAGGGGCTTCCGGGGCCTCCGTCTATCTCTGGAACGACCGGTCCCCAGGACCCTGCACCCAGGCGCGACTGGAGGGTTCCAGCCATCTCTGCCTCCCTTCGTTCACGTATTCAACAAATAATGTTTGAGCACCTACTGTATGCCAGACAGTGTTGCAGGGGCTGGGTCACTGCAGTAAAGACAGGCAGAACCACAGCCCCAAAGCTGACATTCAGGAGGGAAATAGAACATGAGAATTAAACAAATCGGAGGAAAAGCCAAAGTGACCGACCTTATCTGCTCCTCTGCCCTCCTTGCCGTTCCCTAAGCAGCCCGGAGCCCCTTCGGGTCTTCGCACTTGCTGTTCCCTCGGCCAGAAATGCTCTTCCCTGCTGATCTGAAATATCACTATCACCTTCTCAGTATGACGCGATCTGACTGCCAGATCAGACTGCCCCACCGGCTCAAGGGCCACATCCGACCGCTTCCCTGAAAAGTCACTGCATACCTTCACCCTCAAACCTCCTGACCCCGCTCTTTTTCCTCTTAGAACTTGTCACTTTCTAGTATACTACATAGTTTGCTAATTTGCTGTTTATCTGTTACTTGTCCCTCTTCCCCCAAACTCCACCAGGGGGAGAGAATTTTTGTCTATTTGTTCACCACGCGAGAAGAACTGGAATAGATGCTCAATGAATAATTGCAGATAATGGATACATCGTGTTAAATGCTATGAAGAAAATAAAGTATATGGAGTGGCCAGGAGCAGAGGGCTAATCGAGGAAGGTGGTCAGGAAAGGGCTCTCTGAGGAGGGGACCTATGTACAATGAGAAGGCGCCGGCCATGTGAAAAGATGGGCCAGGACGTCCCACAGAGGAAAAGGCGCGCGCCAATGTCCTGAGGCTGGTGAAGTTCGAGTGTCTGATGGACAGAAAGATGCTCTAGGAGCCACTGGCAGGCAGGTGTGAGGGGAGAAGGAAGTGGGAAGCAGGAGCACAGATCAGGTAGGGGCCCCGTGAGCCTCGGGACGGTTTAATCAGGGAAGCTTACTGGTGCCACGGGACGAGAACTGCACTGGGAGTCAGTAAGACCTCAGCTCAACCGCGCATCCGTCGCGCAAGACTCCTCGTTTCAAAGTTTCTTTGGGCGCCGACTGACTGCCTTTTCTAGGCATGAAATCACTGAGGGCCAGGCACACAGTAGGTGCCCAGTCATGTTGTGGAACGAACGGCTGCATGCATGCGCGAGGGAACTCAGGGCCTGCCCGCAGCTCGGCGGAGAGCCCCGGTGGCCCAAGGAGAAGCGTCGGGGCGCGCCAGGGCGAGGCGGGGGCGGTTGAGCACCGCAGGCCGGCCCGGGCGCCCGCCCCCAGCCCAGCGCGCGGGCCCGTCGCGGCCAGCCCGGCCGGCGGGAACCGCCCGCGGGCGGCACTGGGCATGCTCAGACGGCGGCCAGGTCGCGCCGCGAGCGAGCTTCCGCGCCGCCCGCACGCGCGACCTACCTGGGCGCCCCGCGCCCCCGGATGCTGCAGGTACGAGCCGGTGCGACCACAGCGGGCCAGGGGCAGGGCGCGGGGCGGCCGAGGGCCGGGGTCGCGCTTGGCGCCACCCTGCCCCCACCCGTCCCTGGGGCGCGCGGCGGACGCGCGGGCGGGCTGGCGGGTGTCGCGGCCCCAGGATCCCCTCACCACGTCGGGGCAGGGCGGGGGGCGTCCCTCCGCGCTCACCTGGCGGGGACCGGGCAGGAGGGCGCGGGCGGGGCCCCGGGTGGGGCTCGGCCGGGGCGGGCGGGCGGCCGGGACGCGGCGCCGGAGCGTGGGCGTGCGCTCCGGCCGGGCAGGGGCGGGCGCAACCCGCGGAGCCCGTGCTGCTGGCGCCGCCGAAGGACCCCGCGCCGCCGCGACCCCGGCTCGGGGCGCCGAGGGGGCGCACAGCCCGCAGGGAGCCAGCCAAACGCGGCGGCCAGCGCTCGGTTCCCAGGGCGAATCCGCCTCTCGGCTTTCAAAGATGGCATTTCCTGGGCCTGGCACGAAACTCCAGCGCCAATAAATCCTCCCCGTTCCGCAGCCGATATGGAATGATTTATCAGGTACCTGCGGTGAGACAGCTGCAGAGGGGGGAGTGTTTGTGAGAGTGCCCAGCCCCCCGGAAATTCCCATTTTCAGCTACCTAAACTTACTTAGAAGTTGCGGTTGTCTTAAAAATTCATGGGAAGTTGAGACAACGTGACACCTGGGTTTTCCGAGCTGGTGGAAAGAGCTTGCGACTTGGAAACTGGAGACCTCCGTTCAAGTTGGGCGCCCCCTTGGCCAGCTGGTGACCTTGGGCAAGTTGTTTAACCTCTCTGGTCCTGTTTTCTCCCTTGCAAACAGCTGGTAATAATGCCCACCTCGCTGGGTTGTTGAGTGGATTAAGTGGGATAAATTATATGGAGGTGTTTGGCACCGTGCCTGGCACAAAGCTAGCAAGCAGTTGGCGTGATGTGAATTTAATTCGTTTAGAGACCCTAGTGGCTCTCATTTCAGCAGGAAATTAGAATTAGGAAATCATCTTCAAGGACTAGTGGTGGAGTGACAGACCCTGTCTCTGTGCCCAGGAGAACTTCTGCCGAAGTCAGGGCCTTCGGAAAAACAATTTAGCTAAATTGTAACCGGAGAGCATTTTCTTTAAAAGCAGTTTTATACATTCAGAAACTCCAGAAGTTGGCAGTTTGGCTCCACTTACAAAAGAGCTGTTTTGCAAGATGATCCATCTTGCAAATGTTTAAGCAGATGATGGGAGAAAGTAAAGCCTGCTTAGGAAGATTTCTGTTATAAAAAGCTCCCAAATCCAACTTTAAGTGATTATTTAGATCAGGATTTCTCAGCCTTGCACTGCTGACATTTGGGGTTTGATAATTATTTGTGTCCTGGGCATTGTGGGGTTTAGAAGCATCCCTGGTCTGTAAATTCCAGTAGAAATTCCTGTCCCCCAGTTGTGCCAACCAAAAATGCCTCTAGGATTGTCAGATGTCCCCTAGGGAGCAAAATGCCACCCCCGCACCTCTTTAGAACCACCAATTTAATTCTTGCTTTCTGTCATTAGCCTGAGTTGTTTGATAATTTCTGCTTGTGCTTTTATAATAACTAACCTTTGCATAGCCTTATAGAACTTAGAGTACATTCACCTATATTATCTCACTTAATCTTTACAACTCCCTTGTGAGACTGGTGTCACTCCCATTTTACAGATGCGGACATTGAGGCTCTCAGCAGCCAATTATACAGTATGTGGTAGAACTGGGAGATAACCCAAGTCTCCTGGTTCCAAGGGCAGGTCTTTTTCATCTGCATCAAGCTGCCTGCCCTTGGTTGTATGGAGACTTTGATGAGATGACTTTCTGGATGATTAAATCAAGATGTGAAATATATTGGAAGCTGGAAACTTTTTTGAGATTGACTAGTTGAAAATTAACAACAGTAAGCTATTATCTGACAGAGTAGGCCATTCTAGTTAAATATTCTAGTTTATAGTGAGCTCCCATAAATCCCACATGCAGTTAATGGAATACCAATTTGCAGAGAATTAGAATAGAACATGCCTAATACTCTGTATTGATCCTGCATTGTTGCTGGTGATTTGCCATCTCCTAAAAAGGACTCATATGCAAATTACACATTAGCTGGGTAATATAAAAGGTCAAGTTACTGAAGGCATTTCAGAGTAGCTGAGGCATTTATTGAACTTCTGTATGGCAAATGCAGTGCTGAGTGTGGGTGTGGGGTAGGCCCATGTAGCCCAGAGAATCCCGGGTGCCTGCATCCACTTCCCTGCAGGAAAGCGCAGGCCCTGGTCAGGCCAGACAGGTGGTGGGCCCTCAGACAGCTTTGGGCAGGAGAAAAAGCCCAAGTTACCATGGAGGCAGATTCACGATCCCACACCATGTCACTAGTCATGTCTCTGAGCTCTCAATTCATCTTTTATCATACAGAAGATACTCTGGGAGTTTCTAGCATTCCCATTCAAGTCTCAGAGACCTGGTTAGGGAGGCAAGGTCAGAGACAAATCTTATCCCTGGAAGAAGTTGGGGTTCCGAGGTGGTAATTGACTTCGGGGAATTGAGACCAATGCCTTGTTGGCTGTGAACTGGACGGTTTCACACACATTGGGGTTTGTTGCTGCCAAACCCCAACCCGCTCCCCCACTTGCAGATAAGGAAACTGAGCTAGCAAAGGTAGAGTGGGACCAGGAGCAAAAGGGACCAATTTTGACCTTCTGAACTACAGGTCCAGGCACACAAAAGAGAACATTTTCTAGGGCAGGCATTACCTACCAGAAGGGCTGAGCTTTGGGGATGGGAGGGAGGGAGGGAGGAAGAAGACATGGTACCCTGCCTTTCCCCAGCCCTCAGAGTTTGTGGTAGTTGAGGGGAGACCAGCAATTTGTGGTCTCTACATCTTTCCCCACGAGAGCTCACCTTCCTTTCAGCATTGTCGTCCTGGAAAGCAGGGACAGCTCTTCTTTATCTGTTCCCAAGATCTGTTGTAGAAGCTGAAATGCTGAAGACACCCAGCACATACCCTGCCCTGGAAGGGCTGGTGGGGACAAGGTAGCCTACCCAAGCATCAGCTCTTCATACCAACTCTAACAGAGACGGGAGGAGACCAGGTCAGTGTCCACACTGCTCTTGGCTGGGTCCAGCTGATCTCAGACTCCGATCTGATAGGATTCTTTCTTCTGGCTGAGAAGGACCTGGGAAGTGCTTGGTAGGCTCCAGGATGAAAACAGATTTGGTAGTGAGTTCTAAGACCCAGAAATCTTGCCTCTACCGAGCTTCTGATTGTGTGTGCACCTGAAGCCTCCTGCTGCCCCCAGATTTACTTGTTATTCCAAGACCAGGTATGAGCACAGATTTAACAGCAAATTCAGACATTTATTGAGTCTCTACCATATTATTAGGCCAGAGGGCTGCAGAGGTGAACACTGAACCCCTGCCTTGGAAGGATTCATGGTGGATTTGGGAAGACAGTGACATTTGTGTGTGTGTATATGCATCTCCATCCATCTCTGTGGTCCTGTAAGTGCTTTAAAAGGATAAGCTAGACGCAAGAGACACCAGAGGATTCAGCCATTCATTCTGATGGGTATCAGGAAACACTGTGGGGAGTAGTTCTAACCATGGGGAGAAGTTAGTTCTCACTTCAAGGCATAATTGGAATTGAGCCTTGAAGTTAGTAACAAGATGGCATTCGGGGCAGGCAAAACAGCAGGGGCAGAGACATGAAGAGACTTTGTGTATTGTAGGCATGGAGCCTCTTCTCCAAGTCAAGTCTGGTCTGTTTTGTTTTTTTAGACAAGGTCTCACTCTTTCATTCAGGTTGGAGTGCAGTGGCCTGATCAGGGCTCAAGCAGTCCTCCTCATACCTCACTACCTGGGACTACAGGCATGTGCCCACGCCCAGCTAATTTTTTTTTTTTTTTTTTTTTTTTTGTGGAGACAGTCTTACTATGTTGCCCAAGCTCACCTCGAACTCCTGGGCTCAAGCAGTTCTCCTGCTTCAGCCTCCCAAAGTTCTGAGATTACAGGCGTGAGCCACTGCACCCAGCAAGTCCAGCCTCTTGGGGTTCACTAATGCAGAACCCATCTGCTGTGGTTAGGGTCTGCCTCATCTCTCTACATGGGCCAGGCCCTCACCCAGCCCAGGGCTAAGTGCCGATTCTCCTTTTCACCTGGATGGAAGCGATGCCTCTGTGTTGTCTTTGAGACAGGAGTAACTTCTGCAGGGATGCCTCTGGTTTTAGTTATCAGCACGAATCTGGTACTCATTGGCTGCCACACACTGTAGTGAGTGCTCTCCAAATATTAACTTAACTCATTTAATCTTCACAGCAACCCTGTGGCCAGGCTGCCTCCCAGGTACAAGTAGGTGGGGGCTGAGCTCCTCTGCTCAGTGTATGTCCCTCTGTGGGTGATGCTCTGATTGTGACATGGCCTCCCCGGGCTGCCTTTATATCGATGATAGATAAAACTGCCTTTACAGTCTGAGTTGCAATGGAGCACTGACTGCCACGGATTTTTCTCCCTGACCCCGTTTCCTTTACGGGGCCGGCAGGACTTTGCTGACTACATTTTCTGAACCAAAGATTAGGATCTATAGTGTGAAAAAAAAAATGTGTGTGCCTGCTGCTTTGTTCAGGAGGAGGCCTGAGAAGTGTTTGGATACGGAGAGAGTGGAATTTCTGAAACATTTTTATGGTTTATGTGGAAAGTTAAGACAGAGGATTTGAAATTGGGATCGTCCTGGAAAATTCAGGTCCCATGATTTACTATTAGGATACACAAGCTTTTAGTAAATGTTTAAGCAGTGTAGAGTGAAGTGAATTTTCTGTACTGAGCCCCAATAGGGAACAAATGCTGCTTTTTAGCCTCAAAAGCTTACTGATTCCTTCCAGCCCCATTTTACAGATGGGGTGAAAAAACTGAGGCTCAGAGATGAAACAACTACCAAAGGGCACAGTGTTTGTAAGCAGTGCAGCTGAGATTTGTCTTTTTGGGTTTTTTTGTTTTGTTTTGTTTTGCTTTTTAAAGATAGAGACAGGGTCTCGCCATGTTGCCAGGCTGATCTTGAACTCCTGGGCTAAGTGATCCTCTTGCCTTGGCCTCTCAAAGAGATGGAATTACAGGCATGAACCACTTTGCCTGGCTACAGCCAGCATTTGAACCCAAGTCTGTACCTAGACAAATCATTTGTTGAAGTCACATAAAATATAAAAACATTTATTTCTCTAAATGTAAAGCATTTTACTTGGGAAGAATTATAATTTGGGATATATATACAGACCAGGTGGTCTTTGGTTTGCCTAGAAAACAAAGAGAAGGTTGCAAGTTTCGTTGGAATGAGAATGTTACGAATTGTTCTGAAAGGAAGTCCATTGGCACTGGAGAAGCTCTTAGGGAGCTGGGAAACTGATTGTAACATGAAGGTGGTAGATAAAACTAGTCTTAGAATTGCAGCAAGCTGTTTCAGTAGTTATTAAATAAAACTGGTTTTAGGTTCTAACAGGCAGTTTTAGCAGCCAGGCTTGCAGATAATTATATTTTGGAGCGGT